CTAATAAGGATATTTGAGTCATCTTTAGCGGTCTGAATGGTCCAAGCCCTGGTGGGAGAAAAGGGGCATCTAGCAATGGTATGGAGAGGAGTGAACAACGGAGTGAGGCAAAGCATAACTCATTTGGGGCTTGCTGTTGAGAATAGTGTGAAGGCAAGGACCATTTGCTTGTCCAGTGCTGAGTTTGAACACTGTCATCAGAGCTACTGCCTGCTTCCTATTCTGAAAATTAAACTGGATGTTCTTGAACATAACTGTACGAAATAGAGAGGTCCAAAGCATACATGAGCAAGCTGTGTGGACTGGAAGGGATGAAAAGCATGATCAGCAAGATCATGGGGAAGGGTCTCAGTTCCCCAGGAAACCTTACATTTATGTCTGGGAAGGAACACAGCAGGGAACTGGTGAGGAAAAACTGGAGAAAATGAGTGAAACTGGCTGGGAGAGTAGAAGGAAAGAAAAGGAGAATTTAAGGCAAAGTGAAATGAAATCTGTGCTGGTGGTTGCGTGACCTCATAAACTAAGCTTGGGCACGAGAGGGTAATTTGCTGATGTAATTTGCTGATGTAATTTGCCTGTCACGGAGTGCAGTCCCGGCAGGTCCCAGTGAGCAGCCCAGTGCCCTCTGCTGCCAGCAGCCTGAGCAGTGATAGAGCCCGCAGGCAGCTTAACAAACGCATGGCACGTTTCTGAGCTCTTCATTCCTCTGGCAGCAAGAAAAAACAACAGTTCCCCTCTGGAGGGAACTGGAATTGAAGCTGGCCTGGCTCTCCCTGAAGCTGTTGTGGGTGATGCCCTGTGTCCTGTCCACACCTGCCTGCCAATGTGTGTCCTCACTTCCTCCAGCTCACACAGAAACACCCATGATTCGGCCTCATGAGATGCTGTGGAGAGAACAGTCCCATGAGAGTGGTACAAAGGCAAGGCTTACGGCGTGAGACAGGCTGAGGTAGCTGGGGGAAACCAAACAAATGAGCTTTTGATGCCCATACCCAAGAGTGAATGCGCAGGTTTGAAAGGAGAGTTAACAGTGTCCCACACAGAAGTGAATTTGGATGCTCTGCCCAGGAAGGCTGAGGATGTAAAAGCTTACCTGGATTTTATGGACTGGACAAATTCACAGGAAAAATAAGCCATTTGCATTATTTAATGAAAAGTCATCACTTGTCCCTGAATCACAGTTTGCTGGGGGGCTGGGGGATTCTTCTGGAGAAGCATGACCTTAGCTCTATCCTTATGTTTGCCAGAGAAAATCTGCCAGCCAGGTGACTTCTGGCCAGCGATACTTGTTCTTAGGTGATCTTGTGACTTCTCACACTGAGAGGGGAACTGCATTTAGCTCCTCCACTTCCCAGGAAAGCAACTTAGCTAATGGGTGCTGATGTAAACGCAGATCTTGCTGTCTGTGCCCTTTCCTTCAGGCTGTGTCTGGAAATCATGTCACTGCTTCTGAGAGAAGTATGAAGATACTAAATGATCATCAAGGACGGGGCAGCCTGGATGGGTTTGGAGGCACAGGTCTCTGTTTTGGACAGTTATAGTGTCTTGGTCAGCTGAACCTGGATTTAAAACTTCTCTCCAGGCTGTACCTCCAGGCAGCCTCCAATGTCCAGGCTTACACCAGGAGGAACACACCATGAGAACTGGGAAACACGTTCCTGCCATGGGAAAGGCTTGCCTAGCTTCCTGACTCACACACTGGAACACCACAGGAACAGTATTTCAGAGAAGCCAAATGTCTTCTAAATACCTTTGCAAAAAAGTTAGCAACAAATCCTAACTGACGCGTACAGAATAGTCATAGCATGCATGGGGTGATCACATGAAAAAAATTATTTATGTAATGGACCTGGAAAGAAAGCTGCTCACTCAGTAAAATGGATAGGTGCAGTAAACACCATATGGCCAGGCAAGAGAATAAGTTCTTCTGAACACATGCCCTATTATTTTGAGCATTGTAAGTGGAAAGGGCACTGAATCACAGAACAAATAAGTCACAAATCACCTCAAAAATCTACTGCTCAGCTATAACTTAGGCAATCATGGGAAATTTCTCATAGGCAAAATTCAGTAGATCTCAGCCCAAACAAAGGTGGTTCTGAAGAGGTGGCCTTGACCATGAAGCAAGAACTAAAACTGGAGAAACGTCAGCCTGGCAGGGATGAGACTTCAGCTGAACGTCGTGTCCTGCTGAGCAGCGGGCACTTCCATGCAGCACCTCCAGCGGGTCTCACCCGGCGGCCAGGTGCACCGGGGCATTTGCAGAGGGGACCCCCACCCTGCTCCCATTGCCTTTCACAACCTCCCCACCTGGTTAAAGTGTGATTTTGTGAGGCCTTAGGCAGGAATGGGCAGAACACTGATCTGAAGCAGGAGGGGGAAGTGGAAGGTGCCTAGATGAACGTATAAGTGTGACTTCTTCACCACATCATGTCTTAAGTGGATGATCCTCCTATGTCAGTGGAGAGTATTCGTGTGTGTGCAGTGTCTGTGCCGGTGGGCTGTTTACAGTCTGCCTTGCCTCCACAATAGACTTGTGCCTGCATTTGGTGCCCTCTAGTGTTATGAATACTCCAATATGTAAGAAAAAACCTTTGTAAAACAGATGCCCTGCTTCAGAATGTATGGTTTTACTAACTCATAATACAGTAATTCTGTTGATTATGCTACATAGTTACAACTTAATGGAGATAATGTGACCCTGAGCATATTGTGTAATAACAGTCACAACACCAAATAGCCTCAGGACACGTTTCTGTAGGCTGAAGCTAACATCTCAAAGACATAAGCCTGCAAAATGCACCCAAATCTGTTGGGTGTAGAGCACTTTACCTGACCCAACGATCCCTGCATCTGGAATATCTGAAATCTGGCAAACATTGCACAACCAGTTGTTCCTTGGTGCAGTTTGGCAAGCCACTGAAGCCTAAGTCTGTGGTGCTACCAAAAGGGCAGCCCTGCCACCTCCCCAGGCCACTGTAGGCTTCCACAGCCCTCCTCGGGGCTCCTGTATGTGGCTGTGAGGTGCTGGTCTGACTGGGAGAAAACCCCACCCCAGTAACAGCATTTCCAGCTCTACTGGCAGTTTACACCAGCTCCTGTGAGGCCACACAGGTGGGCAGCAGAACCCCACAGCCAGGAGCTGGAGCAAGAGTGGGGCTGCCCACTTCAGCCTCAGCCCCAGCGCCAGTGGGATCAGCTGCCAGCCACCAGTGGGACCACCACAGACCACCACAGACACCACCACGGACTGCACAGGCTCGGGTAAGCTCTGCAACTAACCACCCATCAGCTGGGTGCTCTGTTGTAAATCTTTCACCTCGATTCAAACAGCTTTTTAGCAGCAAATAATCCTACTGATGACCACTGCTGATGTCATTTTTCTCACTTAAACAACTCCCGTATCAGCCTTCCAAAGTGCAAAAGCCGGTGTTTGTGTCCTCGGCTGTCCTGCCTGCCTTGGAGCCCGTTGGCGAGGCAGCCCCTCCATCAGCGCTGGCTGCTCACAAGCTGCCGCCCGCGTGATGCAAGGGGCAGCAGCGGGACGGTGTGGGCCAGTTGCATCAGACAAGAGCCTGCGTGAGGCAAACTGCCCCGTGTGAAAGATGAAGTCATCCTCATCCCCCCATGGAACAACCCCTGGTGAGTGTGGGTGTTTTGGTATTTATTTTTTTTTGCCTATGGAGATTGCATCATTAACCTGGCTGAAACAGTGAGCTGAGAAAAGTCAGAGGACTTAGAAAACAGTGAGGAAGTTGTCTGTTTAGCTGAATTTCATATGAAATCCTTCCAGTTATTCTAATCTGATGGTCTAGCTTCTATAGAAACTATTATACAGTGACTGTGGGGGAACTTATGGGACTTCTCAAAAGCATTTGCTGAAGAGAGATTGCTTGAATTTTGAAAAAAGAGAGAAATGGGGACAGCATCCCAAAATAACAGGTTTAAAACCAAACACAGCTTCAGGTACACATCCTCGTGCAACAACTGTTTCTGAGAGCTACTACTGCTCATGCCACTGAAATAAGCAGCACTAACTCTGCCTACCCTCCACCTCCCAAAGCTTGGGAAGACAGCAAGATTTTGCAATGGGCCTGGCAGATCAAAACTAGGGAACTAACTACTTTGGAGGCATAATGAACTGAAGAGAGAATGCCAAGATCAGTACTACTGGGAAAATAAACTCCCTCCTGCACTTGAAAGTTAAGATTCCACATGGCAGTTTGGTAGACACTGATGGAGTAAGTCTTTTGCACAATAATGCTGGGCTACTTCCAGGATAACACCCCTGAACCACCCCAAAGATTCAGGCAATGGGTCACGCCACACATGTTGCTAGATGTTTTATTCTGAGTGGGAGTGAAGCCCCCTGGCCAGGGTGCTCCTGTTGCCTGTTGTCTGTCCATTTACACACGCTGTGCATGTGTGGTGGGGCAGAGCCGCTGTCAGAAATGGCACATTTAATGCTTTATTCATTTATGGCGTGTGTTCAGTGCCACTGAGGGAGCTGGGTGCTTGGGTGGGGGCTCTTCCAACGTCCCTAAGCCTGTAGCTGAGACTCCAAAAACATTCAGCTCTTCGGGAACAAGGTCCTCGCTGTGGGGGGGGGTCCCGGCTGCCTTTACCGCCCCACGGCCCCCCCTCCGCTGCCGCCGGTGGCTACTGAGCCCCCACGGACACGAGTGGCCCCCGGGTTTCTCTTCTTTGACATCGCGGCCGGTAACACCGGGACGCCCCGTCTTTCCTCTGCCCAGTCCCCGCGTGGCGCTGCGTGGCTCCCGGCCCCGCTGCTCCCCGCTCCTCGGCCCCTCCGGCCCCCGCCCCGGCCCCGCCGCCCCCCCCCTCCCCGCTCGCCCCCGCTCTCGGCGCGGCAGGTCGGCGCCGGTCCCAGACACCCCGGCACGGGGCTTCATTTGCATAGCCCCGCCCAGGCGGCGGCACCCGCCAATGGCAGGCGGCGGGGCGGGGCGAGACGGTAGGCGCTCCCCCGCCCCTCGCCCGGGACGCGCTGCGCTCCGCTCCCGCGGAGTTCTGTCCGTCCCGTTCCGCGCCGGCCTGTCTGTCCTGCCCGCGCTCCCTGTCCCGCTCCGCGCCAGTCTGTCCGCGCTGCCTGTCCCGGTCTGCACCGCCCTACCGGTCCCGCCTGTCCCCGTCCGCGCCGTCCCGCCGGCACCGGGACGCAGGTAAGCCGTGGGGTCCGCGCACCGGCCTCCGCGGTCCCGACCCTCCCCGGTGTCGGTGCTGGTTCCGGTGCCGGTGTCGGGGGGAACCGGCGGGGACGGCCGGGAGGGCAGCGACAGCGGTACACGTGGGCTGCAGCCGGCTCCGGTGGGCATCTCCGAGCGCCGGCCGGCGGGTACCGGGCCGAGGGGTGCGCGGGGTGCGGAGACCGGGGGATGCCCGGCCGGGGGGTGCCGGGTTGGGGGGTGCCGGGTTGGGGGGTACGGGCCGGTCGTGCCGCCGCAGAGCCCCTCGCCGGGACTTGCCCGGGCATATCCCGGCGCGCTGCCCGCCTTCCCGCGGGCGGGCGGCGGGGGGCGCCGGCGGGGCCGGGCGGCTCTCGTTAACTCGCCCCGCGTGGGTCGGGCGGCGGCCGCGGTCCACGCGTGGCGAGGCGGCGGGCGAGCCGGGGCTCGCCGGGCCGCGCAGCGCGGCAGTGGGCGGGCGCCCTGCGGCGCGGCGGGGACTCGGCGTGGGCGGTACACACGCGTGGGCGGCGCCCGCCACACGCATCGCGCTGTCAGCACGTGCGGGACTTGCGCACCCCACCCGTGTCTCGCAGCCCACCACCCGCCTCTCTTGGTTATTTAAGTGGAAAAATAGGCGGTGGTAGGGCTCGGGGCTGTGGGCGCTGAGGAGAGGTGCCTGGCTCGCCCTTCACCTCCGCGCGAGGATTTGCGGGTGGCCGTGGCCGTGGCTGTGTAAGCAGGCGCTTGCCCGGGTCGGCTGTCAGGGCGGACTGCGGCGTGCTCACCCCTTGAACACGCTCAGGTGATTTCACCTATCAAAAGGTGTCAAGCGCTTCTAAGGACACACTTAAGTAGTTTCATATAAGTACCAAATGCAAATTTATTTGTAAATGTTGTTATTCAGATTACATGATGCTTTGCTCACTGTAACCTGTCTGACTGTATTTGTGATGGTGTTGCGAACTTCAGGGAGGAAAAAAAAAAAAGCAAACCCAAAAATCCCAGGTACTCCAGATAGACTGAGTTGTTATCACAAGCAAGACAGCGACAATTACTGAGAAGTAGATGTGGGGTGACAAACAGATAGAAATCCAAGTTTTTATGAAAATTGGTAGGAGTTTTGGAAGTCCTACCTGACATACCTAATAAGGCAGAGTGTGGATGCCCCAAGTGGACAGCCAGAACCTGACATAAATCAATTGTTATGGCCCCAATCTAATTATTTAACAAACCTCTATGCAGTGAATATAGGAATAGAGCCCTGTAGCTGTAACCCTGGGGACTGAAGTCATCCATGTACTGGAGGGATGTCGTGGTCCTCCAGAACCCTGGATTCTCCTTTCTCAAGCCTCAGTTGTCCACCAGTTGTAGCCTGGCTCCTGCTTGCCCAGGGCAAGGGGCGCTCCCCCCCCCCCCCCCCCCCCCTCCCCGGGGCACGCAGCCTTTGGGCTGGGCTGAGCCTGCGTCTGGGTGGGTGCCTTGGGGGACTCTGCAAAGCTGAATGGGAACAGCAGCAAACCCGGGACGGGTGCACCCTGCCCTGTATTGGGAGGGGGTCAGTAGTGTTTCAGCTGCCTCCCTCTGCAGCTGGAGTGAGCAAGGGTGAGTACAAAGGGAGCGTCGCAACCTGGGGACCCTTCCAAGGTGAGACCAGCCCAGAGCTCTTCCCGCCTGAGCTTGGGGTGCTTTCACCTAAAGCAAGCATAAGTTCCTACTCAGCCCAAATCAAGTAATTAGTGGACAATCTTGTGAGTAGAATTTCCAAATTAATTGGCAATCCTGCTGATTTCCAAGCCACCTGGAAAGGTGTAGATTCAGACTTTTTTCCACTATTTTTGCTTCTCTGAGCAGTCCTTCATCTACAAGATGTCACTCCCAGAATGGTTTGCAGTGCAGGGAGGCACAGAGAGATGCTCTCCAGACAAAAAGAGTGGAGGATAATGAACAGGAGCAGAGGAATGACTGAGCAAGAGACTGGGACTAGATACTGCCAAACACAAGGCATGCAGTAATATTTTCCAGATAACGTTTCGTTTTTTCCCCCTGTCCTTTCACTTGCAGTTCTTATTTAGGATTTTGGCTTGCTAGTTTTATGTTCCAATGTATACAAGTACCTCATCTGAGATGCAGTTACTGCCTGGCTGGGCTAGTCTGTCGTGCAGCAGAGTAGAAACCATCTGTGATGTCTCACTGGCTCACGTGGTGATGTGGGAGACCCATCACCGGTGCGTGGGTGTCAGGGCGCCTGAGGGTGGGTCTCGGCACCCCCTGTCCCTACAGATTGAGGGGACGGGGTCTATGCCTGGGACAAGGACCAGCCCAGCCCATCTCCTGCCCTGCCTGCCCCCTGTTACCTGCTGGGCTGTGGTCAGACAGGGAGAACCACAAGAACTAATGCTTTCACTGATTTTTTTTTTTTTTTGTACCCTTTCACTCATTTCCTTGCCCTCTTTTCCTACCAGAATCCATTAGCTGGACACAAAAGAAATAGTTTAGATTCCCATGGAGTCTAATTTTTTTGAAAATTACATTTTCACAGGAAAATAAAAAGTCAGAGCTCCAGGACTGCTAGAGGTGAATGAACTGCAACTTGCACTGTAGCTTCGCTGAAATGCTTATTATCTCATCCAGTGAAACTCATTCAGCAACTCATGTTTTTGCTGTCTGGAGTAATAATACAGTGAGGAGCTCACTCTGCTCACCTTGCTCAGACAAGATGTCTCTTTAAGACAATAGAGTCCTTTAACAAATCGTGATGTTCTGAAGTTAGAAGGTTTCATGCGTCTTGAAATGACGGTAGTACATTTTGCTTCCCTCCAACCCATAAGCACATCAATACTGTGTCATGTTTATCTTCCTCTTTAGCAAATAAGATCTGTTGCCCTGGCAGTCACCTTGAGATCCTGTGCAGTTTCCAAAAAGGTGGGAGGGTTTTGTTGTTTGTTTTTGTTGTTTACTTTTGGCTAATTAGCACCAGTTGTTTTAGTCACTTATTAGACTACCAGAAGTTGCTCCTTTACCAGGGCAGTGCTATGTGGTTTGGATGTATGCTCCACTTACAAATTAAATGTCTTGGTTCTGGTATTGTTAAAAGAAGTACAGAAATCCCGCAGCTTTGAATTTCATGCCAGATATTCAACAAAGTGTTCATTCCATGTATCATTATATTGTGGCTTGAGAAACAGCAGGCCTGCTCTACGCTTAATAGTTTTGCTGGCATGGGTGCGGTGCGCCGTTCCCCCGCCATCCCCGAGTGATACCGTCATGCTGGCAGATGTCCTTGCGCGTGGAGTTGCGCTGGCACAGGATTCCTTTTGCCTGTGTAACTTTCTGTTTTTGGGAAACTGGTTTAAGTTGTGCCTCTTCTGGGGGGGTAGGCTGTGCTGGATGTACCCCTAACTGCGTGCAGAAAAGTTTGTAAATATATGAGTGAATGTTGTCATGTTGTGTTTGCAGGATAGCTTCACCAAAAAGACTGCTGATTTAGGTTTTTTGTGGTGTTTTGTTTGTTTGGTTTTTTTTTTTGTTTTGTTTTGATTTTTCTTTTTCCTTCACCAGTACTTCTTTCTTGTGTTACAACAGCACTTTGGGGAGTCAGTGAAAATTGGTTCCCTTGTTCTCCAGGCTCTGGTGTCTTGGCTCCTTTTGTTGCCTGCAACTCTAATTTCATACATCTCGTGCTCTTGTTACAAGTGAAAGCCTAAATCAAACTCCGGAGCAGAGCATCAGCAGAGCTGAACCCCCTGCATCGGGCAGAGACCCCCTGCCAGTGGGGATGAGGGGGGTGCGGGCACTGAGCTCACAGAGAGCTTGGGTTTGGGTCATTAGCATGCCAGCCCTCCAAAGCGGTTGTGTGTCACCCATTTGGGGCCTGTCTCCCCCCTTCTTGTTTTTTTTCTACTTCATTCAGCCTGTAGCTAACCCCCGCACTTCTCCTGGGTCACTGGCACTGAGGTCCCTCTTCGCCACCTTCTGAGATGGTGACAAATCCCCTTTATTTATTCAGTAGTGTCAGTAACCTTTATGCTATTTCTAGGCTGTGATCATGCCCCTCCCGAGATGTTTGCAAGATAAATTTAGCTCCCTTAGCTTCTCAGCACCAGTCCTTGCTGGCTTGCGCTGCCGTTCCTTGTAGCAGCTAATGAGACCTGGCCGTGCGCAGGAGCTGCAGAAAGGGGTGACTCACTTTCTATGCTCGTCCGGGGCAGACTTCATCTCAAATGAATCTCAGTCGTTCAGAGCCTGGGGAGCTCATCCAAGTGTCTGCTTCCAAAAGGCAGCCAGCAAGGGAGTGGTGGGGGATTAGGCAGGGAGCGCAGAAAAAGCCTGCGGAGGAATGCTGCCGTGGGACGATGTGTTCAGTGCCCGGGAACGGTGTGAATGGGAGGGGAAGGGGGGGTGCTCGAGCGCTCTGCAGCTCGCTCTCCTCTCTGCTGCTAGAGCCTTGCAGGGGATGGGTGCCCCAGCTGAGCCTTTCCCTCTCTTGGGGCTGTGGAGCAGGGTGGCTCTGGTTGAAATGCCAGGTTTTCCCAGGAGGTTCAGGCTGGTCAGGGTCGTGGTCTTCAAACAAGCACTTTCAGGTGTTTACTGGTGTGTCTTTAGAAGTGAATGAGACTTGCTCCGAAGGCTGGTTGACCAATGTTTCTCTCCTGATTTGCTGCACAAGGTTATGGGAAAAGCAAAATGAAGATTGGTTTGGTGGGGGTGGGTTTTATTCCATTTCTGTCATCATGGTAAGAATCACCTAGAATATGCACAAATAAACAGCCCTAAAACTCCAAATAAATCGCTCAGTTTTGTAGCTTTACTCTGAGTTGTTTGTTCCCAGTGAGGTGTTGGTCCTGTGTTCCCCTGTGAGCCACTCTTGCTGAAGGTGCAAACTGGGGCTCAGCTGAGGCTGGGGTGGTTGGGCTTTCAGCTTCAGCTGGGCCAATTCACCTTGGGAAGGCTCTGGATGATGTTTTGGGGGGAGGTGGGTGCTTGTTCTGCTGGTCCTCTGAGATGGCTGCAAGTGAGCCCACACTGAGCCAGAACATTTGTGGCTCAGGAGCCTGGGCAGCCCCCATGGCCCGGGCCCGGCACAGTGGGGCTGCAGGTGCGTGTCCTGTTCTGGTGGGGACACGGCTGGCTGCCGGGGTTTGGTCATGTCAGACCAATGCAGCCACGCTGGCCAGAGCTGGGCTGCTGGATCCCGGAGCTGGGACTTTGCTGGGACTGAGCTCTCTACTGATAGTCTGGGGTCCCCCAGACCTACAGCTGGGGCTGGCAAAGTCCCTTGGCCTCCTGCGAATTGGTGACCTGAGCAACCAGTGGGTTTATCTTAATCATGGAAATGAAATTTAATTTGCTCCATTGTGAAGGCTGTGACATGGCAACAAAACCAGACAGTTATTCCTCAGCCTTGCTGGGAAGCCCCTCCTGAGCTGCTGGAGCAACCTGCTGCACGGTGGGAGCAGGCAGCCTCTCCCTGTCAGTGACATCCATGATGCACAAGAAACACAGACTGCTGTCCTGTCCAGAGTGGAAACTTCTGCCCAGAGAAGGGCACACTACTTATCTTAAAAGTGTTGGGGCTGACTGTGACCTCTTTGCCTTCTATTCCTCTTATCCTCAGGCTCCCTGCCTCTCTCCAGCCCTGATGGGCTGCCAGGAGAGCGAGTACATGGATGAGCATGAGAAACACACCCCCTGCAGAAGCTGCATGCCCGGGCAGGAGCTTTCCAAGGTAAATTGTCTGCTCTGTAAGGACCAAGAGTCATCTAGCACTGAGGCTTTTACAGTGCTAGGTGAATCCTCTGCCAGCCCTCCTTCAGAAGGATAATCTTGGGTCCCAGCATGTCGGGAAGAACTGGGACTCGGTGAGAAGGGACAGTGAACAGTTTCACCTACCCTGGATAGGAGGGCGAGACGATGGAAGTAGGAGGTGGGAATGGATTTCAGGTTGCTATTTGAGTTGTCCTCTTTCCTTTTCGCTAGTGGAAGTCCCTCCCAGTCCGTAGCTCTGAGTGAAGCCATGATGCCCAGCCAGGCTGCGCGCTGGATGAGCGTGAGCAGGGTTCCAGCCCAGCCTTGGCAGTGGGAGTCAGGCTTCCCACCCAGGCACCCGGGGGGTCCCCTCCACCAGCAGTGCCTCCTGGAGCATGTTGCTGCCAGAGTTTTCCCCCTTCCCTAAACAAGGCCAGTGGGCCCTGGCTGGGCAGCAAACAGATTCCCCGCCTGTCTCCATCAGAGCTGCTCTGGTGGCATCTGTTCTCAGCTGGGTTCTGAGGACCCTTCGTGTGAGTGGTAACCTCTCCACCCTTTGCCCCAAAGAAGGGATACTCTTCCCCTCGATACCGCTTCGGCACCTGAGTGATTCCTCACCACAGCCATGTACCCAACCTCGTGTCTTGCAGGACTGTGGCGACAGCGGCGGGGGGGATGCGCAGTGCGTTGCCTGCCCTCCCAGGAAGTTTAAGGACAGCTGGGGGCATCACAGCTGCAAGCCCTGCCTCTCCTGCACCCTCATCAACCGCATCCAGAAGTCCAACTGCACAGCGACAACCAATGCAGTCTGCGGGGAGTGCCTGCCGGGGTGAGTGGGGCCGGGTCCTGGCTTGAGCGGAGCTGTGGTGGTTGCACCTGGGAGCATGCAGGGGGGGCATAGACAGAGCAGGGTTTAACTGAGGCCACCCAGAACATGGGACATAAGAGGACACTGCTAATGACATGCAAATCGGTCCCATCCGTTTGCTCCCTTGTAGCTCCAACAAAGGGAAACTGAAGGTTCTCATGAATGAGCAGTGGAAGAAAACTCCTTCCAGGCCTGAGTTGTTCCTATGGACACCAGGGTGACTAAGCCCTGGAAGATGAGTGGCTGTAGGACCCCTACAGTTGGTGGTCCCCAAAGAGGAGGACAGACTGTGCTTTGGCTGATGGGTTTAAGGAGTTACTGAAATGGAGACTGTTGCATACAACCAGCCTGCAAAACGCCTGAGGGCTGCAGACCATATGCTGGTGAGCAGTGGGACTTGGGACAGAGGAACAAGTTGGAGCTCTGGTTTATGAGCCCCTCCCAAATGCAGTTGTAGGCTGGGGTGTTGCTGTGCCTTTGCGGAGTTATTAATCATTATTGCCCTCTTTAGCAGATGTGGGGCGGGGGAAGAGGCTGTTCAAGTGACACTGCTCTTTGGCAAAAGTGGCTAGACATGAAGTAGCTGCAGATACGGTTTCAGCTAGTGATGGAGAGACCTGCTGCCTTGGGGCATCCCAGCCTGCTGGGGCAGGAGCATGGGGGGGTTGGCTCTCCCCGTGCGACAGACAAACCTCCTGTCTCTCCAGAGCCAGGCCGGGGGCTTGCCATGGGCCGTGCGCTGCTGAGACCCTCTGCTCTGTTGTCAGGTTTTACCGCAAGGCACGGATCAACGGGCAGCTGGACTGGGAGTGCATCCCTTGCACCAAGCAGACACCCTCCTCTGAGCCTCAGTGTACGTGCTGTCCCTCGCCGCCGGCGGGGCGAGCTGCTCTGGGGTAGGGCGGGCGGCGCAGACGCGGTGGAGCGTGTTCATGGTGCGTGCTAAGCCATCCTGACCGTGACAAAGGCGTGCACACGGATGTGCACCATCCTTTCACGAATCCTACTCGCTGGCCAGGCTACTCTGCTGGCCACAGCACAAGCTGCTGCCCCACAGACCTGCTGGAGGAGGCACGGCCATTGCGTATGGAGAGGGATGGGCAGGGAGCGGGTGGCCCAAGCCTCGGTGTTAGGCTCCAATGTTTCATGACCGGTATGTTTGCAGGTCGGTCCAGAACAAACCTGGTGAAGGTAGCAGTCCCCACTGTACCGCCACAGGACACAGCCCTTCTTGCACTTACCAGCAGTGCCCTGGTCATCATTGTACTGGTGCTTCTGGCACTCTCCATCATCTACTGCAAACGGTTTTGGAAGAGCCAGTGTCAGCGAGGTGAGTCAATGCCTACAGTGCTTCTCCTCCTTCTCCCTTTGCTGTTCACACATGCCCGTGGCCCCATCTCGCTGTGTAGATCATTGCCCCTAGCACTGCTGCTCTCGCAGCACACAGTGACCCAAACATTCCTCTGCTCGTACAGAATAAACACTTCATCCTGCTTTTTTACATCTGCAGGACCTCTCTTGTGCTTTGCTGGCTCAAAGACACAGAGGAACCTCCCTCCCCCTTAGTACCAGTATTAGGAGGAGAATGCCATTTCACGGTCAGAACTGGCAATCCTCTCTTTCTGGGTGTTCTCTGCGGCAGGCAAGGTTGAGTGGCTCTTTGCTGGGCAGGACCAGAGGGCTAGTGAGGGAAGAAGGCAGTAGGTTTGCTGTTTGGGTTTTGGGGCATGTTGGCATCCAGCAGCATGCCAAGGAGCTGCTGGCTCATGGCTCCTCACTGGCAGACATACCACGCAGCTGAGGATGTGCTGGGGAAGCAAGTCAAGCCTTCGCTCAGACTGGTTCTCCTCTATCTTCCAAGTCTTCCTGAGGACTCAGAACTTCTCGGGCCAGCAAGCAATGTTCCAAGCTGCGGAGGCGCCCGGCAGATTCCTGTGTGAGGAGCAGATGTCTGGTCCCTGCTGCCTGGGTGTAAAGAACCTGAGCCCCTGCTACAGGCAGGCAGAAGGTACCTGCTCCTGCCACCTTCCTCTTTCTCTGCGGGGAGGGAGGGTGGTGCTGGTTGCATGGTCCTGGGACCTACTGAGATACCCTTAGGCAGAAAGGATGGAGCTGGACAGTGTCAATGTCCCATCAACATGAAATTTGGGACCTCTCTTAGAGACTTGCAGACCTTGTGCCAAAAATGCTCACACACAGCCCCTGCGGCTCCTGATCCCCCCAGCCTGCTTGTGACCGGGGAGGGATTGTCCACACTCAAAGCTTTTCAAAAAGTCATGAAAGTGGCTTTGCTCCATGGTTGTGCAGGGAACAGGGGTCTGGCCTCTGGCTGGGTGCTCCCAGCTCTGCCCACAGGCCCTGGGCCGATGGGTTAATGGTGGGGCTGGCTGACCCCCCAGAAGGGGCCAAGGCAGACGTGGGGCTTCGAGCTGTGCCGGTTTCTGATTTCAGGCCCTGTGGAAGCGGTGCAGTTCATTTCAGACGGGGAAGCTGTGGGTCTCCAGCTTCCCTCTCTCCAGCCAGAGATGGACTTGCCACCAGCCGTTGCGGCCAGCGCTGCCTCCAAAGCCCAGATGGGCAGGAGCCTCCTGGAAAGCCAGCCCCTCATCCGGGCCTCGGGCCGTGGCGACTGCCTGGCCGGGGTCCTGCCACCCTCCAACCCCAGGCAGGGCCAGCTGGGCACGGCAGAGGTCCTGGCCCCCCTCTCCTCCTGCGCCTCCGAGATGCAGCACAAGTGGCCGCACGCCCCTGTGGAGTGCACCGAGCTGGACCTCCAGAAGTTCTCCACCCAGGCAGAGTTTGTGGGCGGCGAGCGGCCGGAGGATGCAGTGAGCCGGGCAGCACCGAGGATTCCAGCAGAGAGTGGTGGCATGGGGCGGGAGAGGGCCCGGCACCTGCCCTCCACCTTCCCAAATCCCACCACCGAAAGTGGGGAGCAGCCGGTAAGTTCTTCCAGCCTCATTGCTCCTCCAGACTGCTGCTGAACACCCAGGGGCTCAGGCAGAGGGTGCTGGGCTTGACGGTGGATTAGGGATGTAACTAAGGTTCGTCAATATCTGGGACTAACTGGTAATTACCAAAAATTATTTGCCGGATGTTTAGTGATGTGTCATTCAACAGGCCATCAGCCATGGAGACATGACCTGCTAAGGCTGTTTCAAACATGCAAAAGACCAGAATTGATTTACTGAATGTATAAGCATATCCTTAACTGATGTGCTCTTGAGTGGTTCTTGTCCTCTCACTCTCTGGAAAGCTGATGTGGCAGCGGAGAAGCTGGTTCCACCTCCCTCTCTGGTGAACTCATCCTGAACCCGGTGACTAAAATCACTGAGTCTCAGAAAATGTCTGGCAGAGAGATACATTTAACAGCTTAGCTCCAGGTGACCGTTTATGGAAGCAGTTTGCTGGGAGGCCCTGGAGCATCCCGAGGAGGTCACTGGCTCTGTGGGATGGTAATGCTAGAAGGAGAAATGCTGTTCTGAGCCTCTGTGACAGCCCTGGGACCAGTGACAGGCATTGCTGGTCTCACCAGACCACCAACAACCTTGAGGTCTTTGTCTTGCCAGGTGGATGATGCCCAGAGCCTTGTGACTCAGATCAGCAGCACGGCAAAGGGTAAGTGTCTTCCCAGCCTCATCTTTGTTCCCCAAGTATTGGGGTAGCAGAGAGAGGCAGATTCTTGTAAGGGAGCTCCTCCAGAAGCATTACCACAGCCACATGGAGGTGCCAGTCATCACAGGGACTTAATGAGTTTCATGGCCTTTGGTGCTGGTTTCACAGGGTAGATTTTCTGTGATACTGCCTTGAATGGTCTGCGGGGGGGTGGCCCAATTGTCACCAGTTACCAGCCTCCCCCAGACTGAGTCAGCTTCATGTTACTGAGCTCTGAAAGTGGTGAAGTGATGTTGGAGATACCTGCAGGGGTGGCATTTCACCTGCTTGGCAGGGACAGGGGCTGGAGTCCAGCTGCTCTGTTTATCCTTATCCTAGCTGGACAGGTTGGTTTCTAACCTCGCCTTGCTGTGTTGCTGCCCCAGGTCTCCCAGTAGCAGAGCTGCCCCATTCCTTGGTGCAGTCACTTGCCTTCTTGCTGAACCCTTCCTTGAACGGTGTGAAGAACTTCAGCCACGTGGCGCTGGAGCTGGGGGTCACGCCCCAGTTGCTGGGGCAGATATCTGGATTTGAGCAGCTCGTCGCTCACTTCACCTACTCGGGAGACACGGTCACCATCCCGCTCCTGGCTCAAGCTCTGCAACGACTCCAGCGGTTCGATGCCTTGCTCCTGCTCTGCGACCACTTCGCGCTCAGCCAGGCTCAGTGCCGCCAGCGCTAGAGGACAGGAAAGGGACGGAGGAACCTCCGGGCACTGTGTCTACTGGTACGGGAGAGGATCCGGTAGCCCTGCGGTCACATAATCTCTGGTGTGCACATGGGGAGTATGTGGAGACGGTCTTTGCATTGCAGAACAGAAGGACGCAGCGGGGAGCATCCCTCCTTAGGGGAGCGCCGGGAGGCTGCAGCCGTGCCTCCTCCTGCCCTCCACGTGGGAAGGTTTGTTCAGGCCTCTCCAGAGGCTGTTTTTTTCTCCAGCTGTGTTGACACCCTTGTCCGGCAGCGGAGTGCCATCAGTGGCTGTGCTGCTCGGGCTGTTGGCTTGGGGTCCCTCGGCCACAGGGCTCAGTCTCTGCAGGCAGCCACCCTCTTACGGGCCCAGCCATCCATCACCTCCCTCCCATTCCAGCTTTCCCGTCCTTCATCTGGCCCACACTCAGCTTTCCCAGGTGCTGGCTGCCACTTTCCCAGTTTACTTTTCACTTACTCCTCTTCCTCTGTGCCAGAGATGGTCCTCGGCAGAGGACCTGGCTGTGACCGCTGTGCTGGGGCCTTCAGTCTCCCTGTGCCACCCTGGCACCTTCCCCTTCATGTCTTTACGAAGCGGTGCAGTTTTCCTGCAGGAGTCTTGGACTGATCCCTGGGATGGGTTGACGTACGTCCTGTGGCTGCCGGCCTGGGGGAGGGTGCTGGCTCACTCCCGAGGCTCCTGCTGCGTGACTGGCCCTGCGGATGGCTGCCGACCGCTGTCTCTGAGCACCGAGGCCTTGCAAAGTGCCCTGCGGTGACACGGGGCGGCAGAGGCAGGGCTGCTGCACCGCCGTGCCCCGGGGGGCAGCCGGTGCCGTGCCAGCGCTGGGCGGCAGCTGGAGGCTGAACCTCTGACCGTGGCTGCGTCACAGTCAGTGGCGACGTCCCTGTGTCAGTCACAGCCGCGCCAGCTTGTTTTAAACTTTTTTTTTTTTTTTTTTTCCTGCCTAAAAATGACCTAATTGGCTCATTCCTGGGAGTAGCTGCTAGGGAGCAGAGCACCGTTCTGCTTTTAATTTTTTTCCTGGAGGATTCGTCTGAGCTTGCAACAGTCCCGCCTGCGCCGGATGCCCCCCGATTTCGACTGTTGTGCCCCGGGGCTGGTGGCTGCAGGCATCCCGGGCTGTTCTCCTGAACCTGCCCCCCAGCCTTTGAGCCTTACACAGGGTTTTGCTGGCAGCCCGACAGACGGGGTTTTTAAGGGGTGCAGCAGGAGCCGAGCACCGCTCCTGCCCGCAGTCTGGCATGTCTGGCGGGGGCGAGGCGGCGCGGGGGCGGCCAGGCATGCGGGGAGCTGCCCCAGCGCGGCCGCAGCCGGCGTGGGGCCAGCGCGGCAGTGCCGGCACCCGGCCGCGGCGGATGCCGTTCCCTCTGAGGTCACGGGCAGAGCAGCCGTGTCGGGGCTGCGGCGGGCGCCGGCGACCCGCGGCTCCCTGTGACCGATAAGCGTCGGTGACATCTGATAAGTGTCACCCGGGCTGTCCCGGGTGGCATCGCTGGGGCTGAGCCGGCGGCGCTCACTCCAGCACTTTGTTGCTTTGTTCCTCAGCGCCGCGGCTGGGTCTGGCGAGAGCTTTCTGCTCTCTCCCTTGTCACCCGGGTCCTCGGCCACACCGGCTGCCAGCAAGCGGCACTGTTACCCTGCCGCCCGCCCGGGCACCCACCGGGCATCCCCAGCTCTGCTCTCAAGTTTTGCCTTTTATCTGACCACAGTACTTGGAAAAAGCGGGCGACCTTCTGGGAAGGCAGCCCTTTCCTCAGATCTGCCCGAACACGGGTATTAATAGCTGCTGTTCTTTTTTCTTTTTCCCGTTAAATGCTGTTAAGACTTGAACATGCTCAGGATGTGGTTAGATAACAGGAGGCACGGGCAGTTTCAGCTGGATGTGACGCTTTCTCTCCCCTGCTGTTTGTTTCTTCCAAATTCAAGGTCATTTTATTGCTCTTTGCTCTGCAAGACCCAGAAGTGTTAGACCTTGTACCCATTTTAGGCTGGGGTTAGTCAGGCTCTTGTTACATGCTTGGTCTGTTACGGAGCAGTCAGGAAAAGTATTGCTAAAGCAAACGCAGCCTGGGGTCAGTGTTTTTTTGACTGAGGTTTATCTGCGGCAGGGAGAGAGCATTTGGATTAATCACGTCACAACATCGAATAAATATTTAATCCCTCTGTGGACACACTTAGTCACTTCCAGTGAGAATTAAGATAAATAGACCTACAGCTGTCTGAGTGAGAGCATTTGTGCAGCTCAACTCACCAACTCGGGCTTTGAAGTTGGAACCAGTCTGGGTGGCTTGTCCTGCATGTCTCTGTGTTCCTGTGTCACCAGTGCCACCAGTGGGTGGTCCTCTGGGGTGCCCAGAGCCATGGCAGCAAGACAGCAGAGCCAGCCTCCTCCCATCCCACGGCAGCCTCGGGAGCAAGGGGTGGGCAGGAATGGCTGTTAAATTAAAAATGGTGAATAATGAGGACGTCACCACATGTGTGTGCTGCAGGTCTTTGCGTTTGTCCCTCCTATGTGGCTGAGCAGTTCTGCTGGTGTGCCAGTGGGTAGGCTCTGGACCCATTGGATGACTTATTTTTTAATTTTTTTTTTCTTCCTTTAAAGCAATCAACCCCATTTAATTCGTAGTTTTTAAGGTGAACTATTATTTTTCAGCTGGTTGATGTCTAGGCAATATTATTGACCATCAAAACTTAACCTCTCCTCAAGGCTGAGAAGTTGGCCCCTCGGGTGAGTGTGGGCCGTGCCCTATGCAGCGTGTAGGGTGGGTGTGTGCCATGCTGCCTGCGGTGCTGGGCTGGCAGGAGCTGGCAGCACGAGGCAGGAATGGGTTTAAGTGGGTTTTAACTGTTCTCTGTCCCACCCAGAGCCTCACACACGGTCTCGGTGCAAGTCGCTGTGGTTGGTGCTCCAGGGAGGCTTGACCCCGCACAGGAGCATTGCGGGATGGGGTTTTTTAGTAGTGGAGCCCCCCCCTAGCTCCCACCCAAGGGCTGCTTCCCACTCTCACTGGTGTCTGTGGCAGGCACCTTACTTCCAGCTGCAGTGACAAAAGCAGCTGTGTTTACAAGGGCCAAAATTTCTACAGGTGGCCTTTCACTCACCCCTCTCAGGACCCCTTTGGCCAGATTGCCACAAGCCCAGCTGAAGCCCTCAGGAGATGGGGAACCACGAGAGCCTGGAAAACAGGGCATAATGCTGTGGTTTGGACATTGGAAATGGCAGCAGTTCCTGGGTGGTGAATGTCTTTAGCTGGGAACCAATGGACTTAATACTTGACTATTGCTTTTTAATAGTATTTTCAGCACAATACGTGGAATGTAAGGGAAGGAAGTTCCCATAGTGCTGGATCTCGTGTTGCAGTGTCAGGAAGCTGTTATTGCCAAGCTGGCATGGCTCAAAAAGAGTTGAAATAAATCAAATAATTCAGCATCTGTGCAAACTTTTAGCTTGGGCCGAACGATGGAAATACTCCTGTGCAGCGGGATTATTTTTTTACAAGTGATTGTTTTTGACACCACTCTTGTCTGGAAGTCTGATTTGCGGAGGAATTTATATGATAAGTTTAAATCCAGCCCTGTTCTGGAAAGCTCTTCAGCATAGACTTAAAATAGACACATACTTAAATCCTCTTAAAGTGTTAATTAAAATGAACAATTAGTACATCCTTGGGTGCTTTTCTTGAACAGGGTGCTTATAAGAATTGTACCTTCAATATGCTCTTACAGAAGCAAACAATACTGAGGAAAACTCAGTTTTAATGATCTGGGCACACTTCTCAGAAAAGTCTGCAAGTGGTAGGGGGAAATGCCCTATGTGTTTTGGATTACTTAATAATGCAGACTTTGGTGCTTTTAAAAACAAAATTTAAAAAAAAAAAAAGAGAGGGAAAAAAAAAAAAAAAACAACACAAAACCCACCACATTTCTGTAGCCATGATTTACCTAGGGGAATACATGGTATTTTTTATGGTGGATGTTATTTTTCTTTAAGGTTACGAATACGTTATTTATATTTTTGTAATCTGTGTGGTTACCATTGTAATTCTGAAGTAGAGTTGTTCCTGTTGTTTTTTGGAGTGATGTCGGTATTCAAATAAAGCTGCAGCTGAAGCCCCTGCCCTTTTTGTTAAGCACGGGGTGTGTGCGTGCCCCACGTTCTTCCCAGACCTGGTGCTCTCAAATTCTGTGTGTTTGTGGTTAAATAAACTTCAGAGTCAGAGGTGGAGTTGCTCGGTGAGTTTTGATTCCTCTCCCCTCGTGCCTGCAGGTTGGTCTCTTGGGCAGGACCTCACAGATGAGCATGACCCCAAGCCCGGCTGCCAGCCCTTGGGGCATCCATGTGGTGGGGGACAGAGATGCAGGGTTCCCCTGGAGAGGTACATCTGCTGGGAGCAGGCAGCACGCTGCAGAGAAGGTGGTGTTACAGCTGAATCTGTCATCCTTGTAATGCTGGTGTGAGAATGGGGCAGGAACAGCTTAAACAGATGCTGCTGGAGGGGAGCAGCTGTGGCCCCCAGCCCCTTCCCCATGAGATGCCTGTCCTGACCAGGGGCATCAGCTGCTATTTGTTGTGCAGGTTTAATCTTCCTCGGAATGGTCAAAGCCCAGGTGGGGTTTGTCATGTGGCATGGAGATAAGGAAGAAGCAGAGACCCCATAAATGATGCCCAAGGAGTTCTTGTTCCTGAGCTTCTGTTTCTGAAGCTTCTCTGAGGAACAGTTGTTCTTTAAGCTCGGTAATTACAGTGCTTGTTAAGTCTGTTCATGCCCTTACACTTGGTCTGTTCTTTAAAATAATTATTAGAATGAAGGATATGATTATTTTCTTTTCTAATTAAAGCTATTATACTTGCCCAAGCTCTTGCAGGTTTTATAGGTGCTTATACTGCTGTAGCTCATTCCTAGTGTGGAGCATACCCACGCACGATGTGGCTGTGTGCAGTCCTGCATCACTAGCTGTGCCTCTGCCATTAACTCCGTACAATAAGTATGGATAAAGAGGCCTCTGAAATCAAGGCCCAGAAAAAACAGTGATTCATCACTGAAGGCAAACCCATAGTATTGGCAGAGATATTCAGTGTGTGTGGTTTCCAAAGAAGCTTTTTCTGCAGAGCTCCTTGGGTGCATGGAGCCTCTATTTTCACAGATGCTCAAAATAATACACCCCAAGTTAACAGTGGAATGAACTTGCTGCTGTACTGAGAGCAGCCAGCCTCTCTGAAGATTGACAAGGGGTAAGTTATCCTAATGTCTCTGCACTGAGCCCTGAGTAAAACCGGAGGTGGATGGTGCAGGCAGGCATACTGCAGGCTGGGGAGGAGCCCAGCCCTCCCACTGGTGCCACAGGTCTTGGGACCTGGGCTGAGATCCTGGCCCTGCTGAGCAGCTTGCCTGAGGCCACTGGCACAGTACAGGAAGGCTGCATTCAGAGGAGAGCACCAGGAGGTGTCTGTTGGGAGAGCAGTCTCTTGCATGCTGTTGGGATGGGAATTCAGAGTATGCATTGCCGTACCTTTGAGTGACTGCTGGTTTGGGGGCTGTAACCATCCTGGACTTTGCATTCTCAGGTGTCTGAGGACTGAATGTGCTGCAGTAGGTAAGGTGTAGGTGGGTTTCGCCCCACCTCAAGGGTCTGTTCTGGAGAAGTCCCTGAGGCAACCACTCCCATGCAAAGCAGACACTTACACCCAAACCAGGAGCTCCCTGTGAACAAGAGTTTTACTCACTGCTCTGCTCCTTGCCTCGGAGCATTTGTGTTGTCTGGTCTCGCCTCGTTTTTGGCTGATGCACAAGGAGTGATGATAAACCATGTTTCCCTCAAAGTACTTGAGATTCTTGTTCTCAGCACTTTGATAAGAGGTAGACCTCTGTGGACCAGAGCTGGCAGAAGGAACATGTGTATTCCATGCAAGCAGAAAAGTGTGGGGTTGAAAAACCAGCTCCTACATGGTCAGAACAAGGCTGACTCCTACCTCTCCGGTTCCTGGTCAGCCAGTTTACAGAGAGGCTGACAGCATATCGAGATGCTGGTGTATATCCAGTCCTCACCTCAACTGCCTCTGGGAGGAACATCTCCAGCTGGGATGCAAAGCTGTACAAAGGCATTCAAAGCACACGGGCCAACTGCTTGACAAGGCTCCAGTTCCAGAGGAGGATGCCAGTAAATGCCATTTGGCCCACAAGGCATGTACACTGGGCGTTCTGCTGAAGCTGGTCTCTGGAGCAGGAATGCAGACGTGTGTCCTGCCTTTCACAACAGCCACAGCTTGCAGCCAGGGATCCTGCCAAGCCAAATATTCCTGACCCATGGGTTTTTGCTTTAAAGAACTTCACTGAAACCTGTGGGGTGTTGAGATACATCACTTGCATCTCCTGGCCAAGCAACTGCAGGGGTGGAGACCAGTGACTTTCCTGGTGTAGACCAGTAAGCCCTGAGCAGACTTTATCTAAGACCTACCGAGGTGCTATTGCAAGTCAAAGGGGGTCTTTGCATCCTTCTTATAGGGGACTCCCAGCAGAGGGCACGTCCTGCCCAGTGAGTGCTGAGTCGCAAAGGGGAGCTGAGGGAAAGGTCTGGCCAGGCTGCGGGACATGTTCCCGCTAATTAAATGCTCTGGGTGGGATCCTGCTTGGCAGCCCACAGCAGAGCCCTGTGTTAACAAGGGCTGCGTCATCTGTGAACAGCTAAGTCAGATGAGCTTTCTACGGTTTCCCTTGGGTGCAGATTCTGGATGCACAGAGCAAGTGATTTTACAGTAAGACCTTTTTCCTGAAACCCTGTATTTACTTGGCCATCTTTGGTCTGAGATGATCTGGACTAAAAACAGTGTTTCATGAAAATACAGACTAAAAACCTGTTCTTACAGGGAGGGGAGAGCAGGAAAAGGGACTGTGTGACCACAGAAAGTGTGGTCTTTTCTTGCCTATCCTACAGATAGCTATGATATTTAAACATAGACCAACAGGGTCTGAAGAAAGGTGAGCCACCACAAATAAGAGAGGCAGAAGACCCACCAGCAATGAGTAGAGGCGAGCGCTGTGCAGCTTGGCTAGGCAGAGGTTTAAGCTGGCACAGATGCTTCATTAACACACAGATGCCTGATTGCATTCAATTATGTGATTTAGAAGAATCTTTCACAAACATTCAGAGTGCACTTCAGGTGGGTGGAAAGCTGTCCGACCAAATTTTTGTAGCAGTCTAAGGTAAATTAAGCCAAGCCATTAACATCTACTTACGCAGCATGGATAATTTAGTAGAATTTAGATAGGTATCTGGGCACCAAATCCCACCTGGACTTGGAGGTTCATCAGTAAGGAAACTGTTCCTCCAAATGTTTCCTTCAAAAACCTGCGACGGGCTGTCCTCGAACCCAAAGGTGGGACAGCTGTGGAAAAGAGGAAGGAGGGGAGGAAGATGCTGCTGGCTGTCCCCATGCTGGCACCTGCTGCTGGTCTCTGCTCAGCCCCGTGCCCCAGCGTGTGAGGTTGTCCCCGGCCATGCAGAGCCAGGGCTGTGCTTCAAGCATCCACCATGTCTCCACGCCCAGTGGCCGCGGCAAGCTGCTGCAGTGGCTTGTAGGTGAGGGGTAGAAGGGCCGATGCAGCAACCACCCGTGGTGGAAGGTTTGGCCCCACTCTCCAGCTTCCCCGTGCACATCTGTTACGAGCGGGAAAGTGCAGAAACCCCAGGGGAACGATGGTAGGGAGAGAATGGGATTCACAGGGATGAACTCAATGAGAAAGCCAGTATTTAAATTTCAGCTCATTTTCATGTCAGGAGGGACAGGCCAGGTGATGCTCAGCTCCCTTGTGCTCTGCTGCTGCTCCTTGTGTGGGAATTACTCATCCCTGTTGTCATCGGTTACACTTAGTGCCATCATAAGCCACTTCTCCCACTGGGCTCATCTTGCTCAGCCCTACACCTCCGTGCTCTCTTTGACAGAGTAATTGTGGCACTGAACCTTTAAATCCACTCTGTACCAATTTCTGTGTCCTCCTGTCTCCTCTGCACAGGGAATTGAGGACAGTCAATTACATTTTGGTTGCTAAAAATGGAAGACTTAAATCTATTAGAGAGAACTGAATTTCCAGTCCCAAGTTTCTTTCATCATTCACTTCCCCTCCTTCCCTACAGATGACTTTTTATTGTTTGTTCTCTGATTTTCCCATTTTCTATTTTCCATAGGCTTCCCCTGTGTGCATGGTTCTCATATTACTGCTTCTCTGCAGGACAATTATAAGTGAATGAAAACACACATTTTACGGCATGTTATTGAATTATTGAATGTGTTTGCCAGGAGACAGAAGTTTATTTTTCTTCTACCTTCCAAACTCACCTTTCAAACCTGTGGGCTGACTCACAGGGACTCTCCAGATGTAGTTTTCAAAAAGCAGCTAAAAATCTTTGCAGCGCGTGTGTTTGGGATGCCAGCGTCTCAGACTGCTTTGCATCACCCACACAGTAAGGGCAAATATGACCCCAGGACTTTGCTGGGCAGATGAATCAGCACCCAGGCCTAGGGACTGTCTCTACCATTTGATTTCCTCCAAATTTGAAGAAAAGGAACCCCCCCCTGCCCGAATCATGCTGCCCTGGCTGTGCAGATGGAGGGCTGGGGAACTGGGCATAGTGTTAGAGGATTAGGGGGACATAAATGAGAGCAAACCCTCTCAACTGGAACCAAACTCGAAACAACCACCACCACCACTAACAACAAAAAAAAGATTAAAAATGGGAGCCTGATAACTTTTGTTGGCAGCAAAAGTTCATTTTTAAGTGAAAACATTGCAACTCCAATCACAAAGCTTTGCTGATGAAAAACAAACACTTTTTGTTTTCAGGAACAGCATGATGCCAATAATTATTACTATTTGTCAGAAATACATTATTATCCCAGTGAAAGTCCTGTATTCCTTCCCTGAGTCCTGGGGTAAATGAGTTTTTTTAAGACTGGACAGCCTATTTCTCTGTGACAATTATTATGTTAATGGGAGCCAATAGACTGGATAATGGACTGATTTTGGATTCAAATGCAGCTGCATTGGGGAACAGAGTTTGAACAAAAGAATAAAGTGTTTTTGCAACCCATTCAATACCTCTTCAAACTCCCCCTCACATCCTCCTCTGAGCTGGATTTAAGAAATTACTGGATTACAAATAAATACCCCAATCAAAATGAATAACAATAGGGCCAATTTTCATATTTTTTTACCTCCTACAGTTAAT